AGCATTGTTACATAGACAAGCAAAGGTAAAGCTATCACACATCACAAGTAAAGGTAGCACTGACACATGGACAACTGAAAGTAAGATGTTACACACACAAGTAAAAATAGGATAATCACATTGAGTACTGAAGGTCAAGGTATCGCACATACAAAGTAAAGGTAGAGATGTCACGAGGACAATTAAAGGTTATGCTATCACACATAAAACCAGGTAGGACTGTTACCTGGACAGTCAAAGATAGAGTTATCACACACAAAAGGAAAGGTAGGACAGCCAAAGGTAATGCTATCACACACACTAGTAAAGGTAGGACTGTCACATGAACAATCAAAGGTAAAGCTATCACACACACACACACACACACACACACACACACCAGTAAAGGTAGCATTTTTACATGGACAACCAAAGATAAAGTTGTAACAGACAAGTAAAGATAGGATGGTTACAATCTGAGGTAAATCTGTCAGTGACAACTAAAGGTAATAAATGTCAAACAGAGCTGACAACTCAAAGTGCAGCTGTCACAGTCAAACTATTACACAAACAACTAAATTAAAAGTGGATTTTATATAGAGCAGAACTGTCTTAGGGACAAAAGGGGGCAACTGAAAGAGGAACGATCTCAGATAAAATCAGAGGAAGGAGTTCTAGTTGTGGGGAAATTCAGAAGAAAGATTATTAAGCTTTTTAAAAACATTTTTTTGCTCTTTGAACATCCATTTTCAAATAGGTACTGGTATACCCATTTTTAAGGAATAAATTGCCAAGAAGAGAAGAATCACCAAAATCAAATCACATTAACAAATACATTTGTATTTACATTTTTATCAATGAATTTTGATGACAGGAAGTGTTTTTTTTAATAAAGAAATTTTCATGGCATTTTATTATCAAATTAAAGTTTCTTTGCTTAGGATTTAATGTTTTGTTGAAAGTTATTACCAGCAATATTGGTTATAAAATGGAATTCCTGTGTGATTGTACTGATAATTGATTTTTTTAAGTCCATGCAGCTTGTATATTGTACTCTTAACTGAATTTGTTTCTGAAAATGTTTTAAATTTGCTTGGGAGGGGCATCAACAGAGGGGAAGTCATAGAAAATACTTCACATTAATAAAACGAAAAAGGCTTTTATACCATTGTTGTCCCTCTGAGTGCATTTTAAACAATTCCCCAATAGTTTGTAAATGTTGTATTAAACAGGTTCAAATAAAGTTTTTTTGGGTATGTGGATATTTACATTGTTAGATGATCAATTTGTGTTTGTACGGGGGTTTTGGTGGTGACAGCTTCCCCATGGCTTACACAGGCAGCATTTGATCAATGTTTTTTAGTGTGGATTATTTCCTGTGTCTTTAAGACCTCTGAGCTACACTGCTCAAAAGTTTTTTTTATGCCTCTTTTTCACTGTAGGGTATCCAGGGACCAGCTTCATTATAAACACTATTTCTATTTGATAATGCTGGCACTGAAATTTTAGATGTATCCAACAAAGAAATGTGCTAAGAGGGAACTACTAGTTCTTAGGGAGACTGTTCTTTGCAAATTGCATTGATCGACAAAGATTTTTTTTTTCAACTGTTTGCTCAAGGAACACTATATTTTGTACTTAAAGGATCTATATTCTATCAAAAGAGTAAACACTTGAATTTTTATTTATTGCCTGTTGAAATTTGACTGCAAATGAGGCGTTTGGAAAAGGAAATATGGATTTTCTGTTGGAGAATTGCTCGATCAGCTGTGGAAAGAAGTTTTTGAGGGTCCATTTTCTTGAGCTTCCATGGCTTTAAAAAGAGGATTTTCTGTTTTCACATAAAGTTTTCCAAAGTATATGTTAGGCAAATCAAGTTTGAAAGTGCACATAAAAATATTTTCTATAGCTGGATACACAAAAAAGGATGATTGAAATTGAAAGAAAAAACTTTTATATGTGAAATTCTAGAATTGATTTGAACAGGTCTGCTGATTTTGAATTTGGCCAAACAAAAAACATTGAATTATTCTAAAGTTAATTTCTACCAGAAAAATAATTTAAAAATTGAAATTTGATATCTATTCGAAAAATTTTTTGCCTTAATTCTTTGAAATGACACCAATTTTATTCACATTCGGAAAGTAATGTAGAAATGCCATTGTGTTTCATTGTGTGAAATATTTGAGTGGGATGCTTTAAACTGATAATACAGTCAGTGCCTGGAGTGGATTATCAGAGTATCATACTCAATAAGGACAAGTTAGGGTGATAAAACAGTGATTGTCCCTACACCTGAGACTTTGATTACAAACTGGTTACTGTTAATGTACAGGTGTATAGATCATTGTGTCTTAATTCAACAATGCTGTACCCATGATGGGAAAATGATGGACATTCTTCGGATCAATTTGATTTTCAGCTTGATTAGGGTACTACTGTGATTAATATTTGATTTAGTGGCAGAATTGATAAATACTGGATTATTTAACTTGTCAGATTCTACAAACTGTCAAGGCTAATTTGTTCAGTATTGATAGCACAATGGATAGTAAACTACGAATGTCAATCTATCGTATGTCCACTCATCCTGTTATTAATCCAAGAGGTGTGGCTTGCAGCAAAAAGGTAACATAAATTTGACATCATTTCATTATGTTAAAATTTATAGTATTTTGTCAAAAGTATATTTACATGAAGAATTGTCCAATTTTGGACATAATATTATGGAGGTATTAGAAGCTGCAATGGGAATAAGGCAACTTAGCCCACTTTGTCAAAGTTTGGGTCACAATGTTTTATACATGCCTGTCTTAACTGTCAACAACAACTCAATTTTTACACACTAACTTCATTTCTGGAATATTTTCTATAATTAAAGCTTTTGTTTTCTAAATCTAAATTTAAAATTTGGACATGAAAACCCTGTAGTATAAATACATTTTCTTGGTTTAACTTTCTGAGTTTTTTGTACACTACAGTTGAGTGGATTATTTAGTCACAGTCTTTACTGATAACAACGATTTGGGCTTTATCTTCGTGCATGCTTTTGCATATAAAAATTTTCATTCCCATATATCGCCCAGATGAAAAAGTCTGACATCTGTGTAAATATAAAGTCTTAAATAAAAAAGGCTCTTCATTGAGTCTGATGATAAATTTGTAGCACCTGAGATTTTAAATGAAGAGATATTTTGTTTCTTTTATGACTGGACATAGGACTACTTTAACATGAAGTCATCACTTCTCTAGAGGAATATAGGTATCTATACAGGTGGATGTTTAAAACTTGAGTATATAAAGGGACTAAAATCTACCAATATTGATACCCTCAGAGTATATTGAAATTTATAGAATCAACTGACACTTGAACATGAGAAAAAGGAGAAAAGAATTTTCTAGACTTAAAATAGAAGAGAAGAGCTTTTTCAAGTACACTTAAACATAATTATATCTCCACTACATCAAAATTCATGGTTCAACTTGTCAATCTGAGTTGATGGTACTTATTTTTGAATGTCATCTCGCACATACCAAATATCATAAGTGCAGGTTAAAAGCTAAAAGATTCTGTCCCAAGCGAAATCTTTTTTTCTCCCCTCCTTTCATAAAAAAAATTCTAAACAAACAGTTTCAAACTTTGGTCAAGCTAAATACCTTATATCAGAACAAGGACTCTATACACTTCGGCAAAATGTTTTTCAGACATCAAGAAAATTTTATTGTATGAAGTTGTAAATATTGACCTCATCCAATTCATTTTCAACATAGGGTCCAGGTGCAGATCCAGGAATTGAAGTTGGGGGGGGGGGGGGCAAAAAGTAGGCAGGGGGTCTGGGGCCAGGAGGAAGCCCTGGTGGTGGACCAAGGGGCGAAGCCACTGGAAGCTCCTGGATTCTAGAGATTTTGTAGGGTAAAAATGAGGTCTACATTTAGACATTTTTACATTTTCTCGATGAAAGTATGATTTAAGCTAACTTTGATAATTCTAGGGGGATGTGCACTTTGTGCCCCCCCCCCCCCCCCTTAATCCGCCACTGGGGTCAATCTTGCATTTACTCCCAGAAAAAATGTTCAAAGATAATGGTAGTATTGATGAACAGAAATCACTATTGTTCACTTATCTGAGGAAAATGCATGCAAATAAAGCAATCAGTTAATTGATTTTGGCTTATTAAAATGTTAATAATGCTTGAATTGATAAATTGAGTAAAACACTGTAAATTTCATTTTCTTCTAGTTTAGATCTAAGGGCAGATTACTCTAACTACATAAAAATACCACCGAATCAGAACTTTTTTGTGTGTAGTGTAGAGAGAGTTCTTAAAAGAACAAGAAGAAGAGGGATTTTTGAAGGAAGACATAATAATGAGATCATTTTTAAGAGAGAGAGAAAGTTGTTTAAAAAAAAAAATTCAAGTTTGTGTGTGTTACGATATTTTGCAGCTGGCTACTGAAAAATCATTGCTGAAGACAGTGTGTTGGCAACAACTGAGAGAAAATTTTAACATTGATATATAGTCAGTAAATATTCTGAAATTTTTTTTTTAAACCAAACTGGTTTAACTTCAAACATTATTAAAGGACCTTACTCTACTTTTTGTGCAAATGAAGAACAGACTTTTCAACTAAGCATGATTTAAAGTAGGTGTTGCAGACTTATATTGAAATTTTGCTTTCATTTATGTGGTTATCTGAATATTATATGGTTTATAACTTTATTTAATATTAACATTTATTAACAGTTCAAACTATCACTATTGATTATATAGTCAATTGTATGCTACCAATTCAGTTTGATAATTGATGGTATTTTTGGTCCAATTTTGCAACATTAGACTGACTGCCAATTTAAACAGAAGTCCCTTGGATGTTATCATATGAAAGTATTCCCACTACCCCATTGCTATAAAATCTTCTTTTCAGAAAACCACATGAAATAAATATTTTAAACTTGTAAAAATAGGAAGACATTAAATACCAAGATTAGTTAAAGGATTGATTAACTTTTATCATTACAGACAGTAAGTCGAGCCAGCAGTAGAAAGTCCCGTCCAGAGAGTAGTGGATCCCGCCTGGAAAAACCCAGACCTGGCTCGGACAATAGTGACAGTGATGAGGAAATCCCAACGAGGCCCCCTCTCCAACCTGAGATTGACTTCACTACGGTCGATATCAGTGATGAGAAAGCCTTTGACACTGATCTGGAGGACAAAGGTATGATGGGTAATGTTATAAAAAGGTGAACTCATTCCGATGAAAATTATAACACCATGCTATATTTCTATTTTAATGGAAATATTTCTGTATTCATGTGTTAATTTTTCATGGCTCTTATGAAGCAGTTGAAAAAGTTGCATTGAATTTTATCTTTGCTTCACTATTCCTTGAGTCACAGTTCCATTCAATCTTGAGATTTTTACACATTGGTGATGGATTTTATCTAATAAACTGCTTGTCATGTTTTGATGTTAAAATTTTTTATGACAAAGAACTTTAATACAAAATGTTTTATAAATTGTAGTGAAATGTAAAATTAAATGTTCATTTACTTTATTACATGTTGATATTCCAAAAAATTTTACACTGAAGTCATTAACAAGTATAGAAATCATTCACATGTTCAATGGATGCTTAATAGTTACTGCTGATAATCTTATATCAATTTTATTTTTAAAAAAACACTACCATGGGATCAATTGTCTTATGAATAAAAATTCCCACCTTTACATTATTTTCAAGAAAAGAAAATAACCTTATCAACAGAATTGCCAAGCAATTAAAGGGATTGCAATAATTATATAAAATGTCTCAAAACATTAAAAAAAAAAAAAAAAAAGAAAGCTTATACGGTGGAGCCTCATTAATCCAGACACTTCAACTTCCAGACAAAATTTGTGAGGAACAATTTATAATTACATACACCAAGTTTCATTAATTTGGACAATCCATTAATCCAGACAATTTGCTTTGGAACACAAGTGTCAGGATTAATGAGGCGCATTTTTCGCATCTATGAAATCTTTTATCACTGATATTTATGAACTGAGTGAAGTGTTTCTCAAACTGATTCTCATTTTTCTGTCCCTTGCATGCTTTCGTTAGGAGCAGGCTCTACTCCCGGAGTTTCTATAGACCTGGTTGCAGACTTCCAGTATCTGAGAACAGCTTATGCTATAGATACAAACCTCAAGTTTAGCGATAATCTATTTGCAGCTCTTAGTAGGTTTAAATAGTCTTCTTGTGTGATATTTTAGACTAAATTTTTGTGCGTGTGTTTATGTAGATCTGGCATTTTTTAGACTAGTTGTTGACATGACGTTCTGTGTTTTGCCATCAGTGTTTATCTTGTTGTAGGAAATATTTCCTAGATATTGTGTCAGTATTACCAAGAGGTAATATATAGAAGCACAGTTTAAAATTTAAAGAAAAGATTCAAATAGGGAAAGGATATTCACTAATATAGTCTAAGATTGCAAAATAACGAAAATTTGTGTTGCATGGTTATATGAAAACTACTTCATAAGAAAATAAACTATGGAGTTTAGAGTACATGTATAAATTAACAAATGTATAATTATCTAAAATTGCACATAATACCAGAAAGGTATATGCATTGGGATATGATGAGCTTACTGCTTGCAAGTAGTAATTAATAATCTCGTTTGTCATTATTGAAAGTGAAGACAAAACCATTCAAAATCAAGCTCACCAATTGTTCTCTTCAATTTTGATATCCAGACCTATTTTGTATATATCTATACATATAGATGAAGAGGAATATAGTTTGACAGAGCTCCTATTCCTATACAGAACCAACAGTGGTAATGACATATTTATAATTGGTGAAGGTCAAGGACTTTTCACTAATCTGAGGTCAAGGTCAAATCATTTGGAGGAATTTGGTGCAATGACTTTGATGAAGGATAATAACTAATTAGGTGTTTATGGTTTATATCATAGCTTATTTTGACATTGTTAGCTTGAAAGAATATTGCACTAACTGGATTTGGTCATTGGTGTATTATGTATTACATTAGCTGGATCTAAGACATTTATAATGTTGCCTAACAGCCTTGGTGATGTAAAAAGACATTGATTTATATGTGGTTCTTAAACATCATATTGATATAGGTCTGATTAGTTCACTGATTTTCAATTAAGGTGTGCAGCTGCATAGCTTTAATCGATGGTGTGTGTAAAAACAGCCTGTAGCTATCATTTGTTTCTTCTTAATATTTAATATGTTGCATCCTGCTTTTTGTCAGTTTGTTGTTAGACAATTAAGTTTCCAGCGCATTTAGATTAATAATTTTTTTCTAATGAATGCTTTTTTACTAAATGAATGGTTTTTTATTGGCTATAATTTTACTCATTTCTTCTTTATCAAAATACTGTATTGATTCATGAAAAATTTTAGAAGTTTTAAAATATTTAAGATTCTTTTATAATTGGTGAAATTTTATTTATGGATTCTACTTTGCCCTTGAAAAAAAAAAGAAAGAATTATCCTGTCACACTTCTACTGATTGTTTAATTCGTTATGTGTGTTACAGAGACCACCACTGCCTATGATCCTACAGGAAGGACAGCCTATATAGAAGGATGTAAAAAAGCAGGTGTTGTTCCTGCATCCTACTTCCTACGTCACATGAATGATCCCCACCTCAGCATGAAGCACCATGGTCTGGGGTCACAGGGAATGAGGGCCATTGCAATGTCCCTAGTGGTATGCTGATTATGTCCTTCATGGTTTCATCAATTTTCATGGGGATTTGTAGTTTTGACAAAAGATATGTACGATTTCATTGATATGTGGAATCATGGACAGCTTCCTCGTCCTTTTCTCTAATAAGTTTGTGATCAACTATTTTTGTGGTTTGGATCATCTATGAAAGTTGGTGTTCAACAAAAAAATTATGAAACCACAGTAATAATAAGGTTAACTGGAGGGTGCTTAGCTACAGAATTATCAAATTAGAATAAACAATTTGTACACAAAGCCTTATTCTGGTATATTTAAAAGATACAACAATTTCTTTTAAAGTAAACAAATTTTTTGGTAAATTTTTTTTCCTCATAAAGACTTTTGTCAGATCTAGGTCATTGATGATCAATTTTAAAGATTTTCCTTGAAGGCCTGGTCATTAAGAAAATACTCTTATATAGTATGTGTCTTTGATAGAACATATAACAACAGTTTTATTGAGGTTTTTTTGCATGTTAATTATTCTGTGCACATAAAATGTTTTGTAGTCCAATACCAGTGTTTTGACCCTTGACCTCAGTGATAATTGGTTGGGGCAACATGGAGGCCATGCTGTATGTGAGATGCTCAGGGATAACTGTTTTATTACACATTTAGTAAGTACATGCAAAATAATAATAATACGCTAACATTCTAAGACTTGCTTTTGCCTCTGCCAACAAAGTTGGAAGATTGTCTGTCTGTCTGTCTGTCTCTATTCATCTGCCACATTGAATAAAAATCACTTTGCTGTAAGTCTGAATTCATTGTAAGCATGTTTGCTATAAGAGTGTTTTACTGCACTCATTTACTTAGGGCAAAATTGATTGACCATCAGATTAATGTTATCAAAAACAAAACAGGTTGCTCCTATATTATAAACTACAAAATTTTTGCCAAATACCATAATTCTGTCCTTATGTCAGTTTTTGTTGAAAATTTTGAACAATTGATTTGAATTCATTTCGAATCCAATTGATTTTAGTCACTGATTCATTGATTTACAAGAACTCTTATTATTTTTCTGTAGGATTTATCTGAAAATAAGCTTGGCCTTCAAAGTGCAGAATCTCTTTCTCAAGTACTACAGCAAAACTCAACTTTAACCCACGTCACTCTGTCTGGTAAGTAACAAAGTACTAAATCAGAATCTCTATAACAAGTACTACAACAAAACTTATCTCTAACCCACGTCACTCTGTCTGGTAAGTAACAAAGTACTAAATCAGAATCTCTATAACAAGTACTACAACAAAACTTATCTCTAACCCACGTCACTCTGTCTGGTAAGTAACAAAGTACTAAATCAGAATCTCTGTAACAAGTACTACAACAAAACTTATCTCTAACCCACGTCACTCTGTCTGGTAAGTAACAAAGTACTGAATCAGAATCTCTATTACAAGTACTACAGCAAAACTCAACTCTAACCCAAGTCACTCTGTCTGGTGAGTAACAAAGTACTGAATAAGGGGCACTCTATAATTCTCTAAGTTACTGATTAAATGAAATGAATCAGGGGAGGTCTTCAATTCTATGACATACTGAAGTAGGGGCAGTCTATAATTCTTCATCTTTGTACACACTAAGGTACAAAGATATTCCTTAGAAAGTAGCACCTAGATGAGATATTTATTTTATTGATTATTGAGAGCTTTTTATGAAGTTGGACTTTCTTGTCAGTGTTAATTCTCACAGTATGAATACTTTTAGGTCAATATGTCACATGATTAGTAGACTCTAGATGATTGATTACTTTGAACATGTTCATGGTGTTGGTAATTCTTTGTTTAGGTAACGATTTTGATGACAAGGCAGCCATTCACTTTTCCGATGCAATAATGGTAAGGCAATGGATAAAACTTAACATTAAAAAAAAATAAATAAATAAATAAAATAAAAACAAACAAAATATATAGAAAGGTAGGAGGCAAACCTGGCCCCTGATTAGACATAAAAACCAAAATTCAAAACTGTAATAGTGTGTAATTTAGGATCCATAATGGTGCATTTAGTGGCTCAAAAATGATTCTCAACATACATAAAGGCTACAGAAACAATTTTGCAAAACTTCCATGTCAAGTTTTAGCTTATTTGTTCTTTTGAAAATTACTTTTTCCCTTTATATTTCACAGAACTCAACTAAATTAGAGTATTTGAATCTAAGCCATAATTTATTTGGGGAGAATGCAGGAGTCATCTTAGGTCCTGCCATTGCTGACAACAGCTCACTCAAAGAACTTGATCTCAGTTGGAACTCCATACGCAGGAAAGGAGCTGTTGCAATAGCTCACGGCTTAAAGGTAAGTTTTTAACTGCACATTTGTATGTTTTTTTACAATGATATGCCCAGGGTATAAAGTGTTTGCCTCCTCAGTTCCTCTGTACCATTATTTTAGACAATGTTTCTTGCCAAATTTTACACTAGTTACAGGAAAGCTATGTTGCTTTAAAATGAATGTCAAATTTGATTGTAATTTTTCTTGATTTTTGTCTCTCACCAGAATAATGTTTATATGAAGAAGATAAACTTGTCTTGGAATGGCTTTGGATTGGAGGGAGCCATTGCTCTGGGCGATTGCTTAAAGGGGAATCAAGTTTTAGAGGAAGTGGATTTAACGTAAGAAAGATGAATTAAAATGGCTCCTCTAAAGGGAAACAACTCTTTATCAAATGCTCAACATGGAACAAACATGTAAATAAATATATGTACTGGTATATATATGTTACAACTTTTTTTTCTCAGGAATAACAGAATTACCTCAGAAGGAGCTGTTCTGATAGGAAAAGGTGTATCTGCAAATGAAACATTGACCACATTAAGAGTAAGTTTATCCACTTTACAGGGACATATATAAAACTGCATTAAAATTGGCATATAAACAGTGGTTGCTTGTATACTTGTATTACATTCAAGAGGAGCCATTAGTTTTATACCGGTATATAGATCAACATACTATATCTACTGTATCCTTATTAGGGATGTGATGATATGGCTGAAATGCATAGTAATATACTGTCTGTATCACAATATATAACACAAGAAATCACCGTTCATAATTTTATATGAAGTCCCTCTTTTATGAAATGGGAAGCTATCTTTAACATTTTATAAAGATAACTAATTTGAATTGTAATGTAATGTTATAATGTGTATGCAGGTATAAGTATTTTGCACTGAAATATATGATACAATTTTTGGGTATTGCTGCGTACCGGGAAATTGTTTCACCCCGACTGTATATTTTTGAAATTTTTTTCTCAAAAGCATAAATCAATCAGCTATTTTTAATATTAATCAAAGGGTTCTCTAATATTAGAGTGTTAAAATGTTTGAAATATAAAGTCAGATTTTTCCATTTGTAGATGGGTAGAAATCCAATGCAGACAGCAGGCTGTTATGGAATTTGTGCAGCCATTCTCAGAAATCCAAACTGTGGACTAAAAGAAATTGATTTTAAGGTAATTATCTCTCCCCCCACCCCCTCCCTCTGTACAGTGTATATAATTTATACATTTTTGCACGTACATGTACATGTGTATTAATATGTATTCAGTAGCAAGGCAAAAAGCAGATATATATAAAGAAATGTGTTGAAAAGATGCCATATATATTATGCATTGTACATATGTTTGTTATCAAAAAACTTATATATTTGAAATATAATCTTGTGTATGCTTTAAAAGGAACCACAGAATTTTAAAGTTTGGATTGTTGGTTACCAAATGTTAAATACATGTACATCATTTGTTTTTACTTGATTTTGGGCTATAAATAGAGGATATTCAACGTTTTGTAGTTGGATATGGAATTTATTTCACGAGTGGGACAGGATTTTTTTTATATTTTCACGAGTACAAAGCATGAGTGAAGATATCAAAAAATCTTGTCTCACATTGAATTTTCTGTTTATTACATGAAAAACTCTGACAGTTTTAGTCTCTGTCAGGATGGTTTACTTACTTTCCTGATTTTCTAACAGGCCAGGGAGTATTTTTAATATTCTTTGTAAAGGGAAGGAAAATTGAGAGTTTTGCAGCACTTCTGATATTCTTTCACACTGTGACAGGATATCACTTTGGTATGCTTTCACACTGGGACAGAATATTACTTTTATTCAATAGATAAATTATGTACAGTATTTCACTGTTGAAAATTATTAAAGCAGGAGTATTTTTCATTACTCATGTGAGGTTCATATACCTGTATTTATTATAGGATATTCTTGTGAATAAGGACTTTGATGATATTTTCAAACAAGTTCAAGAGCAGATTCCTGATATCAAGATGAGGCATGGCGGTATGGAACCACCTAAGAAGCCACGAGCCAGGATCCACCCTATGGTGAAACTGACCAACTACATTGAAAAGAACAATCTTCGTTTAGTGGACTTCTTTAATAAATTCGACAAAGATGGAAGCATGAGTGTTACTTATGAAGAGTTTCAGCAAGGGATTGAGGTTAGTAAGACCATCAGTTAACAGTAACATTTTCGGGGGGGGGGGGGGGGGGGGGGACAATAGATTTTTTTAAAAAATTTTAAACAATTAAAAATTATTTACAGTTTTGAGAACACAAACATTTGCTGATTGATTATCTTCTTCAAATCTTTCCTATTTTTTACACTCATCAGTGTGCAAAGGCTGCTTTACAAAAACTTGTGAAATCTGAAACATTCAAGGTAAAATTTATGTGGATTTACATGTACATGTATAATAAGGTGGTAAGATGTACCAGTTTGATAATGGAGTTCACTTTTAATCCATCATTAACACCAGTAATATTGTGTTTGACAAAGTGTATGTGTATCACTTAATTATTTTTTTTTTTAAAGTGATATCCATAATTCATTTCACCACTCTATTTTGAGAAATGAAGCATGTCACATATTTAATTTGAATGAATGTGGTTATGGGGCTTGTGTATAGTACTGGATATAAATCAATACATGTATATAATTTATGTCTACATCTAATAAAACTTAATCTGTGCTAATTAAATAATTAATGATAGAATGAGTAATACTCAGTGGTAATGGCCTGTTAATCCTTAATGTAGAGTTGGAATTTACATAAGGATCAATAAATACCCTAAAATATTTATTTGGACAGGTCTATATACATACATGTACATAGTAATCTATAGAGTCTAAATATTATCATTAATCAGGTTTAAAACAACTGGCAGCTTTTGTGTTAACTTGTTTACCAAATTTTGACTCAGAACATTTGAGCATTGATCATGCAAACAATTTAAGTTCAAAGGGGGGAGGGGGGTATACCCGGTACATGTATAGTGATGGTGGTGTCTGTTAGTCCGTTAGACTTGGGGGTAGCCATCCACAACTCGTCTTACACCACCAAATGTAATTTAATGAAACTTTCACAAAATTTTTATTACAAAGTGGCATTGTGCATCTCACATGTTACATTTCGACACATATTTGGGGTTTCTTTAATATTTGAGGTATACCCATCTCTTATCTACAACTCTTCCTATACCACTGAACAAGATTTAATGAAACTTTTACAGAATCTTTGTCACATATAGTGCCATTGTGCACCTCCTATCTTACATTTTGATAGGACAGATATTTAGGGTATCCTGTAGCAAAACATGGACTTTGCCATTATGCTCATTAAAGTGGATACCCATTTTGTTAATGCAACTTCTCCTACACCCCTGAATGAAATTCAATGGAACTTTCACAGAATCTCATTTACATACTGCCAAGAAAATTCACTTTCATTGCCATTATTCTCATATGGGAGTAGAGGGGGAGGAGGGCAGTGTATCATTTTGTGAGCTCAGTGCTTACAGGACCTCTAGTTTAAAAGTCTTCTTTTGCATGTTGAATGAGTTGCCCAATTCATCCCAAAACATTACTAATTTTCCAATTTTAATGACCCTGGTCCCATACCTAAAAGTAATGTGAAAGCCTCATATGCCTATATAACAATTATATATAATCTTTACTATATAGATATACCCATTGTATTTTTTATTATTTTTAATTCCCACACTGTGTGATTTACAAGTGTAATGTTGTGTTCACTATTATAATATACATTACTTGTAATTCTTCATAAAGAATCATTTGGAGGTGATGTATTATCTTTATTTTTTTTTTGTTACTTAGTTAAAATGTATAGTTTTCAACTACATGTACATCACTGTTTATATATTAATCAGATCAGATCTAATGTTTAATCTTGTTTCACTTTTACCCTTTGTTTTCTTGATGTTTCTGACAGGACACAGGGATAAAGCTTTCTCAGGAGGAGGTCCAAATCTTACTGAATGAACTAGACAGTGATGGGGACGGAGAAATCAATTTCAGGTAATAAACTCACAGAACATTATATATTCATCTGTTCAAACAACTAGTCCACACCAGACATGTTATACCATAAATTCTGCCAGTTTTGATGTCTGTGCTTGAAAAATTCTGAGCCTATTATTTTTTTTTGGGGGGGGGGGGGGTCTTTTGCTGACTAAAATGCAATTTTTCCATAGTTATGACATTTTTTCTACTTAGAAGACGAAGACAAAACAGAAATCCAAGCATTTTCAGTAAATTATATTGGGGACATTTTTTTAGACAAATCATTGCTGAGGATGAAAGTTTTTCAAGGAAATTTAACATATGACGATTTATTGATATCACAGTTATTTCTTTTAGAAGATGTTCAATCGTCCTTAAATGTTTGACCAGTTGGTCAACAAGAAATACTGGTAAATGTTTACCAGTTAACAACAACTAAATTTTTTACCACTTAAACAGCTTGTTTGAACAGCAATGTTTCAAATGAGCTGCCCCCCCCCCCCCCCCCCCCGTTTTCTTTCATGTAATGGTAAATTTAAAAGCAGTATTTTGATTGCCATAGCATCAGCCAAATGACAAGTGAATAAAAAAGAAAAATCTTGTGATATAAAACAGTTTGCCCCCCAGCTCATCTATGTGAATACATGTATCATCAAAAATGTAATTTGTGTTACGGTTACAGTGAGATGGTGAGTGGACACACCGGGTTTCAGGAGAGTCAACAAGAGAACGTGAATGTGATACTGACAGCAACACAAGCACGACCAGTAACAACGTAACAAAGGAAATTGGGACAGAACGAGGACCTGAAAATCAGTTACAGAGGAGACCCTTATAAACATGTCAAAGCAGGAGAGGAGATACATGACTTCTTCATAACGTCTTTGTTGGCATCGGCATACTTCCAAGTTTCAAAACATTATGTGACTGTGATAAACTTCAAACTTCCGTCCATTTATTGAGATTGAGCTATTTTTAGAACTTCTAAGGATTTAATGAATGACATTTTTTAAGACTGAAATTCCCTACAAAATATTTTTCTTTGTTATTCAAATATATATATTTTTTTTTTTGCTTAGACTACAAATTGTTTATAATTTATGAATCAAAATTGAGATGGATATACATCAAATACATGAAATTGTCAAACAATATCACATAATTTTTGACTTTTAATACATGTAATATTTCATCTGTTACCATAAAATATTTTACAATTTGAAGTTAATTTAAAAGTAAATTGCTTTGCCTTTTTTTTTTTTTTTATCTACAGCGTTATTTTTATTATTATTTTTTTTGGGGGGGGGGGGGGGGGGTGTTGTTGTAGTTTAAAAGCTATTTTTCTTCTTGTTTTCAATGGCCTTATTTGTTAAAGATAGTACTGAAAATGGTTTCTATCAATACATATTGTTTCGCAATGTGCTCTAGCTTGGTCAATGTTATATATGTTTTATCATTACATAGCTTTTGAAGAGATCTTGTCAAATTATAGTCAAATGTGACAGACTCAATAAGTTCACACAGTGAAAAGAACATCTGCACAGTGTTGTACATGTACTTATTTTACCTAAAAATTTAAATGCAAATGTCAGTCACGGTCCATTTGAAGAATCCCCATCAGGGTTTACAACATAAACTTGTCCAGAATTAAATTTTGACATGATTATAAATAAGTGCACTAATGAAGGCACCAAATGTGAAAAAAATATCAATCTGTGTACATGTAATATAGGTATGCTTGTTACATTGATGAAAACAAAACGCATGTACAGTACCTGTATATTCATTTTATTTTAAAGCTCAATACTTGTATGATAAAATTATGGCCTTATCAAAGGTACACATTTGTAGCATTGAAAGTGTGTATTTAAACTCAGTTTTACTGCAATAAATGATGCAATATTATAATTGCTTTTTCTTTTAAGCATAAAACAACATTGTAAAAATGTTAACTTTTACAATACAGTGTATCCGTTTTAATTGACTAAAGTCCTGAGAATCTGTGACAGAATTGGAGGTCAGTAGTCTTGTAAGTTACTTTCCACTGTCATAACATCTCATCCCCTTCTTCAATGTCCTTCAGGCTCATGACCTCTAACTGACCTTTACCTTTAGTGTCGGTCCGGACAAGATCATCAATTTCTCGAAAACAACCAGGGTCAACTAAAATTACCTGAAATGGAAAAACAGAAAGGCACAGTCATTGTAGATTCAATTACTGAATCATTGATCAATCGACTTGAAGGAAACACATAAAAGTCTTTAGAAAAACTATCAATATTTCAAGACTAATACTCTTCTTTGTGAAGTGAACATGATGCTCTTTCAGTTTGAAGATTTTTTTAACAAAGTGATAAAATGCAGAAGCGTCAAAGCTGTTAATATCATATGACATTCTTGAAAAAGAAGTCTCTGACAAGACTTAGCTCTACTGGTTTATGCTTGTAACAAAGGAAGAGAAATGCAGCACTTGGATTTATAGAATATGGATCCTTGGTTTAGTCTTGTTATTGCAACTGGACTAAAACTGAAGGAGGAGAAGCCTTTTGAAAGAATTTCACAGAAATTTCTATTTAAAGTAACTTTGGCAATTCCATTTATCGAAATTAAAAATACATTTCATTGAAATTGGACTGAAACTGTTTTGATTGAAAGACATTCATAGAAAATGCTACTCTTAGTAACCATGGCTACACCATTCACTGAAATCAGAAACTGATATTCAGAATTATATGCATCTTAGTGTAGTTTACTGTGTATCAAGTTTCATTGGATTTGGACCAAAACTGTGGGAGGAGTAGCATTTTGAAAAAGTTTCTACAGATATATTATGTCTATTTTTAGCAATTACCATTCACTGAAATCAAAAACCAATATAGAGAATTATGTATCTTAGTGTAGTCTACTTGTGTAAAAAGTTTTAGTGAAATCAGACGAAAACTGTAAGAAAACTAGCATTTGAAAAGAAATTCATAGAAATTTCTACAATTCAGTAAGTACCATTTAGCAACACGTTGAAATCAAAAACCAATATTTAGAATTATGTTTCTTGGTGTAGTCTACTTGTGTGAAAATTTTTATTGGAATTCGACCAAAAATGTAGGAGAAGTAGGGTTTTGAAAGAAATTTTTATTAAACCATGGATCACTGTTCAATGAACACATGAATAGAATTATGTATCTTAGTGTAGTCTACTTGTTTAGCTAGTTTTATTGAAATTGGACCAAAAATGTAGGAGGCGTGGCATTTTGAAAAAATGATAAATTTCTTTGGAATGCATTAGCTCTTCTGGTTAAAAATATACTGCTTGCTTTATATGTGAAACTTTATGTTACAGTTTATCCAGTGTACATTGATGATAAGTCAAAATCATGAAACATCAGAAGGTGAAAATATAATTGTTAATAACTTTTCTCTAGGAAATATTGATTATATACAGTGAATCATTAATCACATCATCTAGAACTATGGGAAAAAATTCTGAGATACTTCATAGTATTCATAGGTACATATCTATGGTATTTGCAATACTGATCTCAAGATACCAAAGTTCATCTGTACATGGTATAATGTTTATTCTCTCATTAACTTGAACAAAATGACATCAAGTAGTGACTAGATTTACTCTGTAATACAGCAATCATAGTTGCTCGTGCTTTAAATAATGATTTATATTGATATGATCTCCAACTTGGACACTGGAACATTTTAAAGGACAACAGTATAAAATATAAACAATAGTATTTCAGATGTTTCCTATTTTATGTGAAGAGTGTACTTACCATTTCAAGGTCAGGAGAAAAATCCTCTTCTTCCACTCTGGTAGCAAGTTTCTTTAATTTTTCTTTAACCTTTTTGCCTTCTTTTCCTGTTGAATTTTTCAATGATGCTTTAATCAATTTCTTGAACAAAATGCTTTTTGCAGAAATATCATGCAAACTGTAAAAACTTTCAAATTCTGCTGACCAAATAAATATCGCAAAAGAATTCTAAATGTTTAAGATATTGGTGTAGTCTATGAACTGTGTAAAGGATATTTTAAGGGGGATAACTCTATTAACATCTTTGACATACATATTGTATTAACAGAGTAATTTTGAAAAGCAATTCTGGTCTGAGAGAATTATCTGTGCTCTGAGTTAATTTAGATATCATTTTGCCAGTAATAATGATATTTCTGTCAAGTTGGGTCGACTTCTCTGCGACTTTGTGACATACATATGGCTCAAAAGAAACTCTTTTTTTATTGAAGTATCTATGAACACATCCTCACAACGTCAGGGGTCCTGAGTAAACATGTTGCCGTTGGACCCCTAAAAAATTTCATTTGATATCTTCGGGCTGGCTTCTCTCATTGAGGAGCATCAATCAAATTGAAGTAGACAGATAATGTAAACAGAAAGGAATCAGTTGACACCTTAAATGCATTCGGCTCACCTCGGCTGACTACGGTACCCTACATCAATGATGTAATCGGCCGAGGTGTGCCAAGTGACCTTAAATGCACGTTATGCACTGTTTATCACCGAAAGGCTTAATGTGATTGGTTGAGAGATAAGAAAAACAATCCAGATTTGCAATTTTCTCAAAAGACATTGCTTCAGTCAGCCCACAAGATATCGAATGAAATTTGTTAGGGGTACAATGGTAACGTGTTGACTCAGGTCCCATGGTATTGTGAGAATGCTATGAACAAAGCCTCTCAACAATTTACCAACCAGAATTTCTAACTAGAAACTTTGCTATTGCAAGCAATAAGGAATGTCATCCAAAACTGACCTTCCTCCATTCCGATGCCAACAGAGGCCATTTTGAATTATGCATGCACAACTACACTGAGTGATAATACTTTAAAGTTTTATTACTCTTAAGTTTCATTAAAATTGTCCAAACCATCTGTGAAAACTCATGTGGAAAAAATTAGATGGAACTATAACAGTACATTGTATGTCCCATCCCCCAACTCTGACTGGAGTGACATAATTACCTGGTACTGTTATCCTAAGCCTCATCATGGCTCTCTGAATATCAATGGTCTGTGTCTCCTTTAACTGTTTTATAACTTCTAGGGCCTGTCCAACAAAAACAATTTCTCATGAAATTATCACAAACAAAATTTACATGCTAATTTATTTTTTCAGTTTATGAAGTACAGTTACCTGTTGTTTGGTGCTTTTATTTGGTTTTACTGAAAAATGAAGGTCTTTCATGGCTTTTTCAATCAGAGTCACAGTATAGGGACGATTAGTTTTCGGGTTTACACATTTGTCAGATACTGTTGTTGCAATGTCTCTGAACATAGATTCAAGCTGAGCATGGCGTTCTTTTTCAGACACCTGCAGTTCACCCTTTTTCAAAATCTGCAAAAGATGACTCATCATACAACAAGAAGTCTTTGATGAAATTGTAGCTTAACAGGTTTAGACTGAAATACTTTGGTTCATGTGTTCTTTTAAAAATTAACTTCAATTTTAAAACATTTTTTTATACAAAAACTGCAGGGGGAAAATATACTGATTTTGACTGATAATTCTATTTAGTTACCATGGCAACACAATTCATCAAAACTGAAAACTGATACTTGTACTCTATATTCTATCATATTTCATCAAATTGGTCAAAAACTGTCAGAAGAGTGGCATTTTGAAAAAAATACTATAGATAATTCTTGTTTTGCAATTATGGAAACATTGACTTTGTTCATCACAATTATTCATCAATGAAGAGAATTAGGTATCTCTACATTTGTAACAAATTCATTAAAATTGGGCAAAAACTGTAGGTGAATTGGAATAGCATTTTAAAATTTTTTTGGACAAAGAAACAGATGTACAGACAATGGGCGTTTTACCATTAAAGTATAAATTCTTTGTGTCTCTAAGGAGTGAAGTTAATAATAAAGATAAAATGTCAAAAATGTTTAAAAATGAAAGTTTGACATAAAGTTGTAATAAGGATTGAGACCACTAATTCTCATTATTGTAATTATGTGTGCTGATGTAACATACATTTACACATAAAATGTAAAGTCATTATTACTGGTAATGATTACAATTTTTGTGTGATGCTTTTACCTGTAAACAAATCTCTGACTGATTATCTGTACCAAATACTTTCTTCAGGTCATCATTCTTTGCTACCTCCCCTTTGGAAACGTTGACAAAAACTGTGTGTGTCTGAAGGACCTCATCAATGTCAGTTTCTCTTAATTAAAAAAAGACAAGCACATTCTAATAAAAATCTGTTGTATATGTATAAAAAAAAAAAGTAAAATTGAAATTGGAGGAAATAAATCTGACATATTATTAATTTCCAGAATGTTTTGTCACAAAATCCACATTTGTTTTAAGATTTGATTTTGGTTTTAATATAAATGTGGTGGTCAGATGGGATTGATCACCGGTGGCCAGATAGCTCAGTTGGTAGAGCACCAGACTGGATATTCAGGGGGCCCGGGTTCAAATCCCAGTCTGGTCCATCACATTTTTCTCCTCTCCCATTACATAACAAAACTTCCCTTAATATTTGAAAATGATGTAAAACATTAGTTAATAAAATAATTGCCTAAATTTTCAAATTCAAAGCCTTGACTGGTAAACTATTGATATAAACTATAATTAACATTTGTTATCTGTGGTTTAGACTTGCTAACCAAAACTTACAAGTAATGTAACAATATTAACAAATAAACCATTTTCTACATTTGTAAATAATAGATTGCACTTTTAAATACAGTTATGTGAAACTTAGATTAAAACAATTCAAAAGAACTATAGTGTAGAGAGTAGAGATGTTTCATATTTTCATATTTTCTAGTAATAATGTTTTTAAAGAATTATTTAGGCCTCAAAAAATATACATACAAACTTAGTTCATCAAAATGAAATGTATAATTTTGTTCTGTTTATTTCTGTGGATTTGACATGCTGTATGCACTTGAAAGTTAATGTTATTTTGAGAAATGTTTAAAAGAAAATTTTAAAACATATAGGTATGTCACACTGACTGGCGAAGGAATTGCTTCAACTGATACTGTCATTTTAACTGATCACGAGACAAGAGAATGCAGAAGCATTTAAGATAACAATCACTGTGACAGTAAAGTGAGCACTGCCTTGTACATATTTAACATACACTGTCACTTGTTTCAGTAATAATTCTTTTAACCCATAGGATAATAATAACACAGCATACACATTAGGGTTTATGATTAAAATAATTATGTAAAACTCACTTTAACTTAAATATCCATGAAATAAAAAATAAAAAAACTAGCTTTAAAACACAGAAATATTCATTTGATAAATTGCACAACAACCTTACACTTTGTTTCTCCAGGAAACAACCTTATTTGGATAACATGCTATTTCAAATCGTTTGCCTCCTTTCTTAAGTCTAACCACTGCTACATTTGTTAGTCTCTTTTGTCCTGTTGGCTGAAAATATGCCATTATTCTTTAATCAAGCATAACAACATTTAACACGCAAGATACTGTATGGGCCACATTCACATTGTGATTGTCAACTTGTTTGGGAAATCACCGGAAGTTTAAAATGTTGCGACCTTTCTTGCCTCCTTCAAGTAAGAGCTCCAGTGATGAAGATAACACCCCCGCAGACGTCTCTTGTGTGTACATCGGAAATAAACTAGATAAAGTTTGACTGAAAGGATGTGCGTGAATATATGTTCATTTTAAGATGGTCTTCCAACTATGGAGGAAGAAAAAGCTGAATCAAAACCTCCAGTATCAACTCAAGAAATTCTTCGGGTAAGATAAACAAACCTCGTGCAAAGACGTACACTGTACTTTGTAAAATTGGTTGTATTTTGATATTTGAATCGATTGCTAGTATTCGAATCTTTAGCATCTTCACAGGTATACAAGACTAAAATCTCTCCTTGCAGTTATGGTGGTCAGGCAGACTCGTTTGCTTCAAGCAATGCTTGTGATCAAATATATAACGAAGCCATTTACATAGCTATTTAGCAAGTTGGGACCAATCACCCAAATGGAATTTAATAGCCTGTTTGGGAAATAATGACCCGAATGGAATATAAGCCATCTTGTTTATGCATGGCCGTAGGAACCGGGGGGGGGGGGGGGGTGCTAGGTGATGGTGAGGCAGTTTTGCTCACATGCATTGTCCAGATAGCGGGGTAGAACACTTGTCAGGGGTTTGTGTTCACCCATAGTTTTGTTCTTTTTCCCTTCCTGTTACACAGTCAAAAGTTTCATTTGTAGAGATCATGAAAGTTTGTTAACCAGGTTACCATAGCTTAATTCCATTGTTATCTTAGCAAAGCACCTGTCTAAAGTTCTGGGAACTAGAATTTATTCCTGATCTGCCTCACGCTGTTCCTTTTTTGCTTTCCTCATGTTCTTGTTAATAAATACTGATCATCTAAACTGATGCAAAAACACAGATGCACATCATATAATACAACAAAACATCCTCCTTAAGCATCTGCAATATTAGTTTGTCCCGGGTTTCACTCAAGCATCTACAATATTTGTCCCGAGTTTCATTTCTTATTCCAAAACACAGGCATTTCTTTCTGTAATAAAAGGTTACCCCCATAGTATATTAATAACATATCTTGTTGTAATTTATAATACTAGGTGATAAAAATTTATCACAGAGGCAAGTGCCTGTTCTCCAGCAGATACTTTTCCAGTTTTTGGGACATACACAGTGACTGAATACATCATGATTTCCACAAGGAGTTTTACCATGGAAGCCCAATTTGGTTAAATTGTAATGACACTTGGTACACAAGTAGACTACACATAATGCTCTTTAACAGTTTTTGTTTTTGATGAACAGTGTTGCCATGGCCACTAAAATAATCTTTTTTGCCAAGAGTAAATCAAAGTATAATTAACAAATGATTTTTACTTAACAGCTGTAGAGATTGAGAGAAATTGACTTGACAAAGTGAAACAAGCATAAGTATTCCATTAAACTAAGACTATTATGGATATTTGAAAAAATAATAAAAAGAAAAAGAGAAAAGGTTGACTGACAGCGTTTGGCATGAAGATATTGACTTTTATTTAGTGATTGCTCACAATATGAAGGCAGTTATGACATATTTTTTAATTTACAGTTGTCAGATTTGGAAATTTCTCTGGAGTATGTGACTTGGACTCGTGTTGCCTTGACAACAGATAAATGGATGGCCGTGAGACACAACACTAAGGGGGAAACATCTCAGGTGAGTTTGATCATACATCAACCTAATACAGAGACTTTTTGACTCTGTTGATGAATATGTCTGAGATTTATACTTAGCAATGATTGGTAGATTTGGTAATAGCAAGTAGATGTATATGCAGTAAAAACTTGTCTAATCTGGATGTTGTGTATCCGAAATTTTGCCAATATGATAGAAATTCTTAGTCGCTTTCATTAAAATTCAATTGTTTAAAATGTTGTCTAATCCAGACTGATATCTATTCAATCAGGCCAATTTCTATCGAACCAGTAATATCTGGTTAAGACAAGTTTTACTGTGTATTGGAAATCCTTAGACTGTTGAAGTTATGAAGATAAGCTCACTGAGTGTGTTTTTCCAAACAGTTCATTTGCATTTTTTTTGATGTGACATAAATTTATGTAAATAATAGATCAAATAGATTCAACTGAATTGATGCATGAATAAGAGGTAAAACTGCATTATTATACCCTCACTCCGAAGGAGAGGGGGGTATACTGCTTTACCCTTGTGTGTCTGTCTGTCTGTCTGTGTGTCTGTCTGTCTGTCCGTAACAAATTTTGGTCCCAGTTTTCTCAGCAACTACTCATTGCAGATGCTTGAAATTTTAGCACAATCTTTGTTTAGGCATGCCATATTGTTGGATTCATTGTACTAATCCGATGTCAACTCCCTGTTTATCTGTGCATCTGTCAGTACCGCACATAAAAAACTTTGGTCGCAGTTTTCTCAGCAACTACTCATTGCAGGTGCTTGAAATTTTAACACACTGTTTGTTTAGGCATGCCATATGGCGGGATTCATTTTTGTATGAATCCGATGTCAACTTCCTGTTTATCCATGTGTCTGTCCGTACCATACATAACAAATTTTGGTCATAGTTTTCTCAGCAACTACTCATCGCAGATGCTTGAAATTTTAGCACAATCTTTGTTTAGGCATGCCATATGTTGGGATTCATTTTTTACAAATCCAATGTCAATTTCCTGATTATCACTGTGTTTGTCCATAACGGAACTTTTGTATTCACATCAGAGCGGGGGTATTATTAGTGAGCATTGGCTCACAGACTTCTTGTTAGTCATTCTTTTGATTAAAAAAAAATCTAGGTACATAGGAAGACATTTCAATAGCACATGTTTTGTAATATTTCTATTTGAAGCAGGGTTCTTAGCATGAAAATGAAATTAAGCATTTTAACATACCGGTATATGAAAATTGTCAGTTTTTATTTTTGGACAGATGACAGCTGTTTCTGTTAAGTAAAACTTTAGGTATGTTTTAATAGGTTTCTAAATGTGGTTTAAACAGAAAATAGAGTACATTATTTATTGACATAAAAATGATAAACACAATAGGGAAATTCAGTTTGTCTTACCCACTACTATTTCACACATTACATCCTGTTTTTAAGGGAGTTGTTTTATTGAATGTTTTGTGAGTAAAGTACTCATTATAATACTACATTGTATTAGTAATAGCAAGTAGATGTAAATACAGTAAAACCTGTCAAATCTGGATATTGAGTATTCCTAAATCTTGTCTATTATAAAGAACAAGGTTCACTTAGGGCCTTTTTTGGCCCTGTGAATTTCAGAAAAACTGAAACTGCTTGGTTTTAGTCGACATTGCATGAAATATCATTTAGACCTTTGGTGACTGCGTATCTATCAAAAATGATGTAATTTTCTGGCTAGCCAATGCATTATGATGTCATGAAATGCATTATTTTCCTCATATCCTGAAAAATTCTACAAAAACAGCATATTTTTAAAGGTATTTTTCAATATTTGATATAGAGCGCAACCTCTGATCTAAAATATGCAACTATTAAATGATAGAACTATTTCTGAGGATTACAAAGCATGCTTTATTTTTTAGATCAGAGGGTGCGCTCATATTATTTCTCTTCTGTGAAAGTACTCAAATATACTTGTTTTCCTTAAAATTCAAGAACACTGCAATTCCATGAAGCCTGTTTTCCAAGACCTTGGCTTTAAGGAGAAAATTTTTAATAGGAAATGAAAGCACTAAGTCTCTACTTTATCTTGATGTTAAAAATGGAACATAAAGTGTTAGTCAATAAATTGGTATATCTACAGGGCCATTTTATGCATAAAGTGAACCTAGCTCTTTTTAGTACCTTTCAATAAAATTCTACTCTCTCTCTCTCTCCCTCTCTCTATCTCTGAATCCATCTGTGGAAGTTATAACATTGAATATATATTCAAAGCAAATACACATGTATATTTTTTTTAGTCAAAAAGCTATGTGTCTCTTTTGTGACTGAGTTAGTGATCTTTGGTATTTTTCAGTTTTGGTCAGCCCATGTAAATGTTGATTGCTAAATTGACATCTAGGATGTCAGTCTTACTAAAGACTCTGCTAGAAACTTGATTCTTTAATATCTCTCTTTAAATATTTAAATAATATTTAAAGTATATAATAATATTTAAAGTATATAATAATATAATAATATTTAAATAATATCTTTCTTTATCTGTCTGCAATTTGATTATTTAAAAAAAAACAAAAAAAAAAAACAAACTTGAAACGTTCTTGCCAGAGGTATAGCATTACAGTCAAAAGTTTCATTTTACAGATATTACTTAGTAGATGCCTTGCATCCCAGTGGTCTAGGCCCCTATCATGTCCAGTAGACCTGTATTACTGTCAATTGCGAAAGTGACAAGAGAGCTTTGATTTCACTATATAATTTAAGAATATTTGATTTTGATATATGTATAAAAAAAATTGTGTGTCATTATTACATCATTTTACATTGTGATTTATTATCATTCAGTTGACTATTTTAAACCCATTGGATGGCAGCATCAAATATTCTGAACCAATTAAAGCAGACTCTGTGCAAGTGAACCCATCTCAGCCAATCATAGCAGTTAAATGTGAGTGTTGATCAGTTCTTTGATATTTTTGAAACATTTTGATTCAAGTTGAAATACATTCTGATTTTAAGTTATAGTACATTCTAATTACTGTTAAAGTACCGGTACTTGTATGTATTTAACTTACCCTATGGAGAGAATTTTATTTTACAATTTGCATACCTGTATGAAATGAAATTAAATTCAAATGACAAGCAATGACCATATACCAAAGTACTTCAAAGATGTAGAAATGTGAAAGAGGACATATTTCTTTTCCTGTATCCATAGAAAAACAAAATACTGTCAAACCTCTTTATCTTGAACTCGATCGGACCTAGAAAAAAAAAGTCAAGATATCTGATGATTTGATATATTGAGGTTAAAATGCATAAAGAAAAAGTGGTTAGGACTTTTAACTCATTTCGAAATACCCATGGTAACTGAGATATCCAAGTTCAAGATAATGAAGTTCAAATGTATATATAAGTATACTGGATTTTTTTCAGGAAACATTTGGCTGTCATTTTGTAATGATTGTATTGTGTACACTACAGGTGGACAGAGACTGGAGGTCTATAACTTTGAGACTAATGCTATGATTAGTAAATCAAGGGTTCATGAACCTATAGCCTTCTGGACATGGTTGAACTCTGACATCATCGCTATGGTAACTGAGAGTTTTATATACCATTGGGACCTATGGCAAGGTACATTTACATGTAATTTGATGATCTAAGACATATGTATTGCATGTATAAATTGAATTACTTTTGCAAGACCCCAGGGCCATGAGGGGCTATGCTATATTGCATGTCTATGGTTTAATTTATGTTAGAAATCTTTACCTCATGAGTAAGAAATCTACAACTTCTTAATAAAATCCTTTGCTTCCTACTTTGTATAATTATTGAGTCATCTGCTTTTCAATTCATTTGTTTGAAAGAACTGATGAAAAACTACTTTGTGTAAAAAAAAAAAAAAAGCTTCAATATTCAAATTACAGTTTATAATTAATGAGAACATTACTTTTCAGATGACAATCCACCTGTGAAAATGTTTATGAGACACAATCGTTTGACATTCAGTGAAATCATCAGTTATAAAGCAGACTCCAGTCTGAAGTGGTTAGCAATCACAGGCTTGATACCAGAGGTAAACCATTTCAGCAGCATTTCTCGTCAAAATGGATAATTTACTCCACGAAGCAGGTTTACTATGGTTAACATCTCTGTGTCACAAAGTCCAAAATATCTTACAAAGAATATGAACCTCTATCTGGATACAGTCCACTAGTACATTTCCCATAGGTGACAATCATACTTGCCAACCTCCAACATGTAAAAATCTGGTCATGACCAGATTTGGAAAGTAAAAAATCTGGTCATAGCACGTAACAACATTCACGACACATTTAGTACCATGATCAAATTAATATATATGTATATATAAGTATTTGTGTATTGAAATTATTTTATTAAAGGCTTTAATAACAATGATAAAATATTTAATATATATTGATTAAATTTACATGTTAAAAGAGCATTGAAGGTTTCATTATTCAGTATTGACCTGAATTAAGTGTGCAATTTTTTTTAGCTCACCTGAGCTGAAAGCTCAAGTGAGCTTTTCTGATCACACGTTGTCCGTCGTCCGTCCGTCCGTCTGTCTGTCCGTCCGTCCGTCCATCTGTAAACTTTTCACATTTTCAACTTCTTCTCAAGAACCACTGGGCCAATTTTAACCAAACTTGGTACAAAGCATCCTTGGGTGAAGGGGAGTTTAAATTGTTAAAATAAAGGGCCAAGCCCCCTTCCAAGGGGAGATAATCAAGAAAAGACAAAAATAGGGTGGGGTCATTAAAAAATCTTCTTCTCAAGAACCACTGGGCCAGAAAAGCTGAAACTTATGTGAAAGCATCCTGGGGTAGTGTAGATTCTAAATTGTTCAAATCATGACCCCCGGGGGTAGGGCGGGGCCACAATAGGGAATCCAAGTTTTACATTGAAAAATGTAGAAAAAATCTTTAAAAATCTTCTTCTCAAGAACCACAGGGCCAGAAAAGCTGAAACTTATGTGGAAGCATCCTGGGGTAGTGTAGATTCTAAATTGTTCAAATCATGACCCCCGGGGGTAGGGCGGGGCCACAATAGGGAATCCAAGTTTTACATTGAAAAATGTAGAAAAAAATCTTTAAAAATCTTGTTCTCAAGAACCACTGGGCCAGAAAAGCTGAAACTTATGTGGAAGCATCCTGGGGTAGTGTAGATTCTAAATTGTTCAAATCATGACCCCCGGGGGTAGGGCGGGGCCACAATAGGGAATCCAAGTTTTACATTGAAATATGTAGAAAAAATCTATAAAAATCTTGTTCTCAAGAACCACTGGGCCAGAAAAGCTGAAACTTATGTGGAAGCATCCTGGGGTAGTGTAGATTCTAAATTGTTCAAATCATGACCCCTGGGGGTAGGGCAGGGCCACAATAGGGAATCCAAGTTTTACATTGAAATATGTAGAAAAAATCTTTAAAAATCTTGCTCTCAAGAACCACTGGGCCAGAAAAGCTGAAACTTATGTGGAAGCATCCTGGGGTAGTGTAGATTCTAAATTGTTCAAATCATGACCCCTGGGGGTAGGGCGGGGCCACAATAGGGAATCCAAGTTTTACATTGAAAATTGTAGAAAAAAATCTTTAAAAATCTTGTTCTCAAGAACCACAGGGCCAGAAAAGCTGAAACTTATGTGGAAGCATCCTGGGGTAGTGTAGATTCTAAATTGTTCAAATCATGACCCCCGGGGGTAGGGCGGGGCCACAATAGGGAATCCAAGTTTTACATTGAAATATGTAGAAAAAATCTTTAAAAATCTTGTTCTCAAGAACCACTGGGCCAGAAAAGCTGAAACTTATGTGGAAGCATCCTGGGGTAGTGTAGATTCTAAATTGTTCAAATCATGACCCCCGGGGGTAGGGCAGGGCCACAATAGGGAATCCAAGTTTTACATTGAAATATGTAGAAAAAATCTATAAAAATCTTGTTCTCAAGAACCACTGGGCCAGAAAAGCTGAAACTTATGTGGAAGCATCCTGGGGTAGTGTAGATTCTAAATTGTTCAAATCATGACCCCCGGGGGTAGGGCGGGGCCACAATAGGGAATCCAAGTTTTACATTGAAAAATGTAGAAAAAAATCTTTAAAAATCTTGTTCTCAAGAACCACTGGGCCAGAAAAGCTGAAACTTATGTGGAAGCATCCTGGGGTAGTGTAGATTCTAAATTGTTCAAATCATGACCCCTGGGGGTAGGGCGGGGCCACAACAGGGAATCCAAGTTTTACATTGAAATATGTAGAAAAAATCTTTAAAAATCTTGTTCTCAAGAACCACTGGGCCAGAAAAGCTGAAACTTATGTGGAAGCATCCTGGGGTAGTGTAGATTCTAAATTGTTCAAATCATGACCCCCGGGGGTAGGGCAGGGCCACAATAGGGAATCCAAGTTTTACATTGAAATATGTAGAAAAAATCTATAAAAATCTTGTTCTCAAGAACCACTGGGCCAGAAAAGCTGAAACTTATGTGGAAGCATCCTGGGGTAGTGTAGATTCTAAATTGTAAAAACCATGACCCCCAGGGGTAGGGCGGGGCCACAATAGGGAATCCAAGTTTTACATTGAAATATGTAGAAAATATCTTTAAAAATCTTCTTCTCAAGAACCACTGGGCCAGAAAAGCTGAAACTTATGTGGAAGCATCCTGGGGTAGTGTAGATTCTAAATTGTTCAAATCATGACCCCTGGGGTAGGGCGGGGCCACAATAGGTATTACAAGGGGGAAATCGGGTGAAAAACAGCAAGGCCAAAGTTACTCAGGTGAGCATTGTGGCCCATGGGCCTCTTGTTTAAAGGAAAGTCTTTTCAGAATCTGCATTGCTGATTTGAAGTACATGGAAAGTTTGTGCTAAATTTGAAAGTATTCTCATTTTGGTTTTTGAAGTTATTTTTTCTTAACCCGAATTAATTTAATTAACAAGTGCTATTAAATGTACAGTTATGCCTACACTATCTTCGAACACTTTATTTCATCTAATGAAAGTTGTTTTCCAAGATTCCTTGATATGTACATAAATATCATTTCTCATTTTCTTGGTTCAATTTGTTCCTGCTGGCCCTGATAACGATCTCTTTCTATCAGAAGCCATTTTAAATTGACTTCAAACTTTGTTTTGTCAAAACAACTCTCACGTAATTGTTTACGCCTGCACTGAAAATTTACTTGTACACGGCCCTACTGAACATAGCCATTGGCATCGTTTACGGGTTGTAACTGGAAGTTAAAAGTGCAACCTAATTTACGAACCCAATCCGGAAATCGGGAGATTTTCGGGTTGTTTGGCAAAAATCGGGTGAAAAGCATGACCCACCGGGTCATAAAAAATAATCGGGTTAAGGGTAGAAAAATTGGGTGTAACCCGACGAAATCGGGTGAGTTGGCAACTATGGTGACAATGTTGACATTTTTTCACACAGCTTCTCCCCTTACGAGGGCTGTTCAATAAATTATGTCCTCGGTGCTCGGAAAGAAACAAAAAGCGCTTTTCAATGATTTTTTCTTAATGATTTCCCTTAAATATGCTTCTTTATTTGAAACACGTCTGTAACATAATTATTCAATTCCTAATTAGGGCCCCGCAAGGATTTGCGGGTGCCCTATAGTAATCACTCTGTCTGTCTGTCTGTCCATCTGTCTGTCTGTCCGTCTGTCATTCTTCCGTCCACAAATTTTCTGTTTTTTTCTAATAACTTTTTTTAGGGTTTACCAATTAAGTTCAAATTTGGTATGTTGGTTGAATAGGCAGTAAGACATATTTTGATGCTAAGTTTGGTTCTCTATGTCGTCCGGTTTGGAGCTGGGGTGGTGGGGTATATTCCTTAACTTTATATAAGAGTGAATGGGCAAAGAGAGATGACTGCTGAGAATGTTCCTATTGTAAACTATGAAAGGCTGCAATGAGTCTCTTGGGATTAATTAACTTTCCTCTTGAAGAAAATCCAAAGCATTTATCTTTATCTGCCACATTGAGATTAATTAACATCTCTGTCTGCAAATGAAGTTTGTTTTGAAGTTAAGGTCAATTCTGAAAGATGGTTACATTCTCTGAAATGTGGATTTAAATGATGTTCATACTTTATTTTGTTAAAATACACAATGAGTTACGATTTTATTGAATTCTAAAAACAAGATATAGATAAAGATATTGTTTTTATTATTATTTTCTTTTTTTTCTTTTTTTCTGCCTTATGTAAATTCAAGAATACTAATTATTTTAACAGGTATTCAGATAATAACCTCATTCTATCATTGCTGAAAAAGTTCTTATTGTAAACTTAGAAGAAAAGGTTGAGAGAGCAGTATAAGTAATCCTGTGGGTTTGATTATCTTGCTGGTTTGCAGAATATTTTAGAGGGTTATCTTCTGTCACTTTAAGATTAATTAACACCTTTGTCTGCAACTGATATTTGTTTTGAAGTTAAGGTCAAGCCTGGGTGATATTTGCATTCACTGAAGGCTGGCATTTTAGAACACACATGCTTCATTCTTCTTTAAATATAGATTTAATTGAGTTATTATACTAGATATGACATTTTTTACTGCCTTATGTAAAGACAAGGATACTATTTAAAGGTTGTTGGATATTTAGCAGTTGCTATTGCTTATTCTTCTTTATTTTTTAAATTTTTGTAATCAAGTAAAATTCTCATCCCCTAATCTGCACCCTTATATTTCTAACCCTCGGCGGGGCCCTTCCTGACTGTTCAGATTTCTAGTTGTTTTTAGAACACATTTTTGATTATGCCCTTCGTATACTGGAATATGACAGATCCTATGATTTCCTGGACTTATTTCTTCTTTATTAAAGGTGTTTTTTCAAGTTTGGAAAATGAAACAAGTCGTACGGTGAAAGATCTCGCGAATATTGTTGGTGTGACAAATATTAACTTTCTGTTTATCCCAAAAACTCCTTTATTGTTCAGGACGTGTGGGTTTGGACGCTGTCATGAAGAAAATTAATGTAGTAGATTCCTGATTCTGGTTCCTTCTTCTCATAAACCTTTCAATTTTTTGCAAAAATTTTGCTGTCTAGACTTGTCCAGAAATTAAACGGCCTCCCCAAATAAGAATCTGAACAGCAAGACCACTACTATTGAAGAAAATGGCATATAAAACTTTCTTTGTGCTCTTGCAATTCGTTACTCTTCTCAGACCCTTGCTAATTTGGTCATGTGCATCTTGTTGTAAATTTTCCTTTGGGGGTTCAAAAGAATGGATTCAGGTTTCATTATCTGTTAGAATTTCAGACAAATGTGGATAACTATAATTTCTGATTTTTAAAAATAACTATTTTGATATTGTTACACGCTGTCGTTTTCACTCATTTGTCAAAACATAGGGTGACCATTGAGTACGTAGTCTTTTTACTGTCAAATTTTTCTTTAAAACAGTGTGAACTACCCCCAAAATTATGCCTATTAAATTTGCTATGCATCTTAAAGTCAATTTAAACATCATCAATGATAATTTGTTGAATGTTGACAAATATTACATTGGTTTTGTAAGTCCTTGTCGCCAAGGACGGTATCCATTTTGTATGCCCATTTTATCATTTTTGATCATTGAAATCAACCTGCTCAAGTGTCTATAAAACAAACATTGGTTGCTGTAAATATCACATATTTCAGTTAATATTTCTTTTGCATTCTTAACAAGTTTTACAGAAGCTTTACAAGAAGCGTATAACTTCACTCTTGTTAACCAATTCTTTACCATTCATTTTTAATGCAGTGTCTCGAATAGCCCTTGTTTTCCAGCTTCTCACAATGAAACTATATGATTAAATGTGGTCACATAAACGGTTATCAATTTATTTAAGATTCAATCATGAGAGAAAGCCAATGTTAATGTAAAATATTTTCTATGTTGTACGTTATAGAGTTCAGGACATAATTTATTGAACAGCCCTCGTATTTTCACTGAAGGATGGGGCACCCCTCAAATGAAAGCTCATCCAATTCTCTGTAACTGGTTAAAATTTCAAGGTGGCATATCATAATTATTTTCAGGAAAAATGGACATATTTGCAAAAACGTCTGAAAATGAAAGTAAAAGTGGAGAATTTACAGAATTTCCAAAATTCAGGGTATACACACATCATGCAATATTCAATTCCTTTCCTTTCAAAAATATTTCAAATTTAAAGATGGTTTTGAAAGTGGAATTTTCTGTTATTTTTATATATATCAAGTATCTGTAGTTCAGTCATTCTTTTTGTTATGTATACTGCTTGCAAGTTCAGGAACTTTTACATTTTAGTGCACTACCGGTACTTTCTTCCCTACTGATTCTAAAAGTAATTAAAGGTGTATACCCATTTAGTGAAAAGGTGCAGCACGGGAGCATAAATATATATGCAGGTGTATGTAAATGTTTGATCATCAGGGCTAAATTTACAATTTTATATCAATAAATACTGTCAAATCACTAATTTTCATGGGGGTTTTATTTTCATTGTTTTTGAGGTGTGAAGAGACCCACAAATTCATGTCCTCCATGAAGTGTGAAAATTGTAATCAAGACAACGCCACACTTCTTCAACCATGAAACAAAATCCCCACAAACTAGTATTTTTTCCCCAATCAGGAAAATTTGACCCCATGAAAATAAATGACTTTACAGAAGTTTTATTAGCTCACCTGAGCTGAAAGCTCAAGTGAGCTTTTCTGATCACCCGTTGTCCATCGTCCGTCCGCCCGTCTGTCCTTCCTTCTGTAAACTTTCCACATTTTCAACTTCTTCTCAAGAACCACTGTGCCAATTTTAACCAAACTTGGTACAAAGCATCCCCGGGTGAAGGGGAGTTTAAATTATTAAAATGAAGGACCAAGCATCCTTTCAAGGGGAGATAATCAAGAAAAGACAAAAATAGGGTGGGGTCATTAAAAAGTCTTCTTCTCAAGAACCACTGGGCCAGAAAAGCTGAAACTTATGTGGAAGCATCCTTGAGTAGTATAGATTCTAAATTGTTCAAATCATGACCCCCAGGGGTAGGGCGGGGCCACAACAGGGAATCCAAAATTTACATTGAAATATGTAGAAAAAATCTTTAAAAATCTTCTTCTCAAGAACCACTGGTCCAGAAAAGCTGAAACTTAAGTGGAAGCATCCTGAGGTAGTGTAGATTCTAAATTGTTCAAATCATGACCCCAGGGGTAGGGCCGGGCCACAATAGGGGATCTAAGTTTTACATTGAAAAATGTAGAAAAAATCTTTAAAAACCTTCCATTCAAGAACCACTGGGCCAGAAAAGCGGAAACTTTAGTGAAGGCATTCTAGGGTAGTGTAGATTCTAAATTGTTCAAATCATGACCCCCGGGGGTAGGGCGGGGCCACAATAGGGAATCCAAGTTTTACATTGAAATATGTAGTAAAAATCTTTAAAAATGTTCTTCTCAAGAACCACAGGGCCAGAAAAGCTGAAACTTATATGGAAGCATTCTGGGGTAGTGTTGATTCTAAATTGTTCAAATTATGACCCCCGAGGGGTAGGGCGGGGCCACAATAGGGAATCCAAGTTTTGCATTGAAATATGTCGAAAAAAAATCTCTAGAATTCTTCTTATCAAGAACCACTGGGCCAGAAAAGCTGAAACTTAAGTGGAAGCATCCTTGAGTAGTATAGATTCTAAATTGTTCAAATCATGACCCCCAGGGGTAGGGCGGGGCCACAACAGGGAATCCAAAATTTACATTGAAATATGTAGAAAAAATCTTTAAAAATCTTCTTCTCAAGAACCACTGGTCCAGAAAAGCTGAAACTTAAGTGGAAGCATCCTGAGGTAGTGTAGATTCTAAATTGTTCAAATCATGACCCCAGGGGTAGGGCCGGGCCACAATAGGGGATCTAAGTTTTACATTGAAAAATGTAGAAAAAATCTTTAAAAACCTTCCATTCAAGAACCACTGGGCCAGAAAAGCGGAAACTTTAGTGAAGGCATTCTAGGGTAGTGTAGATTCTAAATTGTTCAAATCATGACCCCCGGGGGTAGGGCGGGGCCACAATAGGGAATCCAAGTTTTACATTGAAATATGTAGTAAAAATCTTTAAAAATGTTCTTCTCAAGAACCACAGGGCCAGAAAAGCTGAAACTTATATGGAAGCATTCTGGGGTAGTGTTGATTCTAAATTGTTCAAATTATGACCCCCGAGGGGTAGGGCGGGGCCACAATAGGGAATCCAAGTTTTGCATTGAAATATGTCGAAAAAAAATCTCTAGAATTCTTCTTATCAAGAACCACTGGGCCAGAAAAGCTGAAACTTAAGTGGAAGCATCCTGGGGTAGTGTAGATTCTAAATTGTTCAAACCATGACCCCTGGGGTAGGGCGGGGCCACAATAAGTACTACGAGGGGGCAGGGAATCAGGTGAAAAACAGCAAGGCCAAAGTTACTCAGGTGAGTGTTGTGGCCCATGGGCCTCTTGTTTCCATTACTGGTTTTATTGTCTTGAACAACTTTGCTTGATTTTTCAGGATGAGAAGATAACAGGAACTACACAGTTATACAGTGTGGATGAAGACATCACACAGTGTATTGGTGCTCATGTTGTATGCTTCAGTAGTTATCAGTTCTCAGACAATTTATCTCCCTCTACAATCTTCTGTGTAGGCTCTCGAGATGCACAGGATCATGGAAAGGTACAAAATTATCCATTACTTTTATAATGGTTGAATATATTTAAATATATCTAAAACTTTCAAAGATTATTCCAGCACAAAAGAAAGTTAATGAAATCGTGCTTGCAATGATCACAGATTATTTTCAAGGGGTTGTGTTTAATGATAAACATGTAGATTTGGGTTTCTATGCTACTTGCAGCTAAACAGTTTATTTCTCAGAACAATTCTTTTTACAGAAAGAATACATGATTGACTTGAATCTTTTTGTGACATTTTTTTTACTTTGTAGGTTCATGTGATAGAGCTGGGCCCATACAAACCTGGTAACTTTGCTCCAAAAAATAGCTATGACCACATACAGTTTCTTGATGATGTAGACCGATATGATTTCCCTGTGTCTCTTCATGTAAATGTTTTTATTCATCTATTCATTCATTGATTATAGAGCATTTTAAATATGAGTATTTATGAACTGATTATTTAGCTTTGATCTTCCCAAATGATTAACTTTAAATGTGCTGTTTTAGGTTTCACCAGAAAATGGATTGCTGTTCTTGATCACTAAGTATGGCTATTTGTACCTCTGTGATCTGGAGAGCTCTGTGTGTTTGTGTTCCACCAGAATTTCCACCAGTATCATTTTTTGTTCCACTTTAAACTCCACCACACAGGGTATCCTGGGAGTCACACGTGATGGTCAGGTGAGAAATCAAACTTGAATTTTTAATGAATTGAATTTTTTAGGTGAACATAAAAGGATTTTTGTTAGAAAAAATTATTATACCTCTACTGATTTTTCCCTATATAGAATTAGATCATTAAATGTGAATGATTCCCTAGAAATCGCTGTGAATGGACTAATCCCTGTTTTGCCATGCGTAAGTCAAGTGAACTAATCCCTGCTTTGAAATTGATATTGGTATCAATGTGAATGGACTAATCCCCATTTTGCTGTGCATTGGTCAAGTGAACTAATCCCTGCTTTGAAATTAGTATCAGTATTATAAAACAATTTTAAATTTGTATATCATTGAGGGAGTTTGCAAGATTCCAGTTCCCCTCGACTAGGACTATTTCCCTCAGCTTTGCCTTGGGAAATAGTCTTGGTCTTGGGGTATTGGAATCTTACTAACTCTCTCAGTGTTACAGTGCCCACTGTCCAATCCGACAACTGTGCAATCCGGCACACTGGACTTTCCGACCTCGTATTTTATTCCAAAAAAATTCATTATATCTGATATAGAACAAAATACTCTATATTCCGACCACTGTACATTCCGAATTCCGGCGCTTTTTGTCAACAATACTAGACAATTACATTATGATTTCACCTGGGTAATCCGACATAATTACACAGGTGTTCCGTAATTAGCCGCTTGCCAGGTAACATGAATGTCCCGTTTGGCCACAAGATTGGTCTACCTAGAGAGTAGTTAATTACATGTAGTTTAAAAGTGTTTATGTAAGCATTAAATGATCAGTTTTTGAATTCAAAAATTAGGCAATCGATTCTCTTTGCTGTTATCAATTTTATTCCCGCATTTAAGAAATAGCATCCACGCGACAGAAAATAAAAAGAGTACATAATATTTTGATTGCATTTACCTTACAGACTAAATAAGATTTTTAGCTTGAAATTAAAATCAAACATGCAGTCAGTCCTTCATAAAGCCATGTCGAGAAAAAAAAAGAGTATGGCGAACGTAACATGTAGACAATACACAAGTTGAATGCAACATCTTGTCTAATAGAAAAAAGTTTCAATTCCAGGTTAATATACACTGAATTAAGCAAGGCTGTGCACATAAAAGATTTGCCGGAAGCAAAAATACCGCTTTAAGTTGCCCATTAAATGTTAAAATATTACGACTGTTTGATAAAAATTCAATCGCAATCACAATGTTTCAGAGTTACGTCCCGTTTGTATGATAAGTTGCGTGACAGTATTAATAGCACAGTCTATGTTGAGAAGTAAACAGTGGAGAAAAATCGGAGAGAAATGTAGTGTAGAAAAAAAAATAATACCACTGTGTAAAGAAGGTACATGTAAACGAAATATTTACTTTAATATCTACTGCTTTAGTAAAATTCTAAAAATTAATTGCAACATCTCGAAGCGATCGGCAGTTCCATCTGTTTTGTCCATTAAAAAAAACATTGTATATTACTACAGAGTTTACTAATGCTCAAAGAAATGCTTATTAACGAAGGTATATTTTATACAACAAAGAAACACACAAGTATGCCAACATTTTGACAATTAAATACACGTGTACTCAAAACCTAATGAAGTCATCTGACACCAATCATACTGCTAAGAAATATTTAGCACTGGGTAATCCGACACACTGTCTAATCCGACATTGATTTTATTTCCCGCAGCATGTCGGATAAGACAGGTTTCACTGTATACTTTAATGGTATACTGTTCAGGGGGAAATAACCTATGTTGACAAATATAGTATCTTGCAATATTCATTTTTTTTTAACTTCAAGCTATCTGTTTAGCAAAAATATTAATTGTCATTCAACTCAATCACTGAAGGATGCAGTGATACCTGATTCATTTGGACTAACTTTGTCAAATTAGCATAAATACAAAAACTAAGTTTATTGTTCAGTAAAATTTGGTTATAGCAAAGTCGTTGGGATCTATGAATTTTACTTCACTTTATCTGTAATTTGTTATATCTGTGTAATGAGTTTGTCAAAATATATATGCGAATTTGCAAGATGCATGTTTTCCATCAAGTATGACTTCAATATTTTTAGGTAAGTATTAAAAACAAGACATATCTTTGAGAACTGAAGTTTTCTGTTGAATTAAATTTCAAATATAAATACTGATGAAAAATAATGCCCGTTGAATATTTGAAATTTTGAGATCTTAAGGAATTCGCTATGAAAGATGTAAAATTCATTTTTTTTTTTTTACCTCTATTTGACACAAAATTAATTCCATATATCAAATTAATTTGTTTTATCAGAGTTCATTAAAACCATAAAATTTTACAGTAATGCTGGGGATCCCCAAAAAACTTTGCTATATCTGTAAATATAATGTACTCTATATCTGTGTTTGTACTGAAGAAGTTTTACTGTACACATACCAGTATAATTACCAGAGGAAAACTTGTTTTAGAATATTTTACTAAATTTTTATATATTATAATATTTTTTTGTTTTCTCCTCACTCTTCGCAGAATTTGTTTAATTAAGGTCTCAATAAATAGCAGTTTCATTATTTCTATTCATTGTAGGTAATTAGTGTGGATGTTGATAAGGATGACCTCGTAACCTATGTCAGAGGTCGCGCCAAGACTGCAAATCAGGCAGACAGGTTAGAGAAGGCAATAACCCAGTTATAAAAGGTGCTACAAATACCGTCTACAGCCTCTTAGTCAGTCTACAGGGCATTACAAAAAAGTCACAACTTTGTGTAATTGATTTGTTTTACGTACCTAAAGTATTTTGATATTTAAATCATTTTATATAGATTTTATTCATCTGTTATTATAATTGTGTTACAATTTGTTGTTGTTAATGTGTGTTGAGTGAAGGAGATACTCTACAAATACGTGTAGGAATAATCTGTAAACAGTGTACATTATGACTATCATACCTCACATTGCTTTTTTATGTGTATTTATTACTGCTCTTGTTTAACATACACTGTCTTTACAACTCAGCTTTAACATACCAAACAATGAAGAGTATATATGTTGTAGAAAAAAAAATGTTACTTGAATCCTACATTATTTTTGAATAGCCTCTACAAATGTTTTGCTCATATTTATTATCCTTTGTATATGTATATCTTTGAGTATTGTTTTTCTTCTTGTGTTGATATACATGTAAATGAAGACTTAGAATCGAATCAATTTAAATTGAGGTCAGGTTTTATTATTGTCACATTCACATGTGCTAGTGTTTATAATGTGTTCTATAGAGACATCCTTTTTGCCATGAATGTTAAATAATCAGTTTAACAAACCTCAGATAGGTTTATAGCCAATTTGTTTTAATACCCCACCATGACAATCTGTATCTACATGGGGGCCATACATATCACATACAATATTGCAGTAGCATATTTTTGAGTGCAAAACTATTTTAATATGTGATGCTTGCAATTGATAAATCTTTATACTTTTTTTTGCTTTAGGGTATGTTATGTGTTTTAGTTATTATCTAAGTAAATCATATGCTGTTAAGTGTTCACCTTAAGAATCTCTACATTGTAAAATTTGTCTCTTTTACATGTCATTTTTTGTTGTGTTATTTATATATGTATAGTTTATCTTAACATGTTAATAATCTAGTCTTTCATATAGAGTGCTTCCATTACTGTTGTCTCTTTAATCTTTATGTATTTGTACTTAATTAGCATAAATCTATCTGTCTCATTCTTTGTGCTGTCTTGAATTTCATCCAAACAAAGAACCGTGTTCAATAAATGCTACTTTTGGCCCTTTTTTAATAATATCATTTATTCTTTCTTCTCTACTGCTTTTATTCATTTGTTAAGAAATTCAGTTATAAAGAATTAACGAGTAGTTATTTAAATATATATATATATATATATATATATATATATATATATATATATATATATATTGACATTATATTCTATGTGAATATTCACCTCCTTTAAATTTTATTTTTGAGGGAAAAAAAAATTACTTCATTTTTCACGCTTGTCCTTTCTTGCCTATAAAGAATAATCTATGAGAGACAAGTCATCGGTAGGTAAATGACCTAAAGGAAAATTAAACCACTGAAATCATGTTTGGACTAAGTGCAAGGACAGACACACACATATACACACCCTTATACACATACATTACAACTTCATTACTTTATAAAAATGCCTGTTTTTTATGATTTGTCATATTTTTCAAACAATTTTTTTAAAAAATGCAATGTATACACATTACATGATTGAGGGGTGAAATGTAGCTCTTGCTATATATATATGTATTATATAAATTTTCCCCCAAAATACAGAATAATATTCATCAATATCTACAAATAATATCCATTTTTTTCCAACATTTATTTAGATTTAGAAGAATTAGTCTATACTCTTATATAATTTTATCAGCTTTACATTTTGTTAGGTAGCTATTATTTTATGAACCTATTAAACATTTAAGCTATGATAAACATAACAAAAGGGTATAGTGCAATAAAGATTGGTTAATATGATATTCTTATAGAAAGCATAAGTAGAACTGCTTATTTTCAATGTACAGGAGGTTATGTTCACATTAATCTATGCATGGAAGTCAAACAAAATATTGTATGGATTTTTTGCTCACCTGAGCTTAAAGTTCAAGTAAGCCTTTCTGATCACATTTTGTCCAACATCCGTCTACTTCTATCAGTAAACTTCTTAATATTTTTGGCTTAGTCTCTAGAACCACTGGGCCAATTTCAACCAAACTTGCCACAAAGCATCTTTGGGTGAATGGGATTCAATTTTGTTCAAGTGAAAAGCCGTCTTTTAAGGAATTGGTGAAAATATGGTGTTATCTTTTAAAAATCTTCTCAAGAACCACTGGGCCAGAAAAGATGAAACCTAAGAGAGCTTCCTGACATAGTGTAGATTTAAGTTTTTTCAAATAGTTGCGCCTGGGTGAAAGGTGGGGCAACAATAAGGGATCAAAGTTTTACCTGGAAATTATAGGAACAGTCATTTATAAATCTGCTGAAGAAAAGCAGGGTCATGATGAGTAACATTCAGATAAAGCATCCTGATGAGGTAGTGTATATTCATGTTTGTTCAAATCATGGCCCCCAAGGTAGGGTGGGTTACAATAGGAGAAAAAAAAATTTTACATGGTAATGCATGTATACAGAAAAAATTGAATCTTTTGAAAAACAACAGTCAGAATAAGTTATATTAATATAGGAGCATCCTTAGGTAGTGCATATTTTTGACCTCATGACCATTTGAGTTTGACCTACTTTTGAAAAAATAACCTTGGTCATAACTTTTGAACAGTTGGTGCTAGGGCTTTCCTATTTCACCTGTGTATTCCCTGTGACAAGACCTTTCTTTTGGTACCAATAACTGTTAATATCATGACCTTGACCTTGGCATTTCACCTATTATTTCAAAAATCTTTAACCTTAGCAGGAACTTCTAAATGGTTAGTGCAAGGACTTTCACACTTTATATTTGTATTGTGACAAGACTTATCTTTGGGTACCAACAATTCTTACCTCTTGACTACTTCTGAAAAACTTTAACCTTGGCCATGAATTGCCATATGGGGACATCAGTGTTTTACAAACACATCTTGTTTTATTCAAATTGTGGACCCTTGGGTTTGGGTGAGTCTAAATGGGAGATCATAATTAACATAATGCTAATCTTCTACAGAACAGCAAGGCCATATTAGTCGTATTGATATTAAAGCAGCCTGATGGTATATGGATTCAAGCTGGTCAAATAATAACCCCTTGTGGCTAGCTAGGAGCCACAATGTGGAGTCATTGGAATTAATAAAGAAAAAAATCTTCCTCTGAAAAACAGCAGGGCCAAGGTGACTCAGGTGAGCTTTGTGGCCCATGGGCCTCTTGTTTTCTTAAATACATTTATCTAAAAAAAAGGGTATTTGGCATAATACAATGCATTTACAGAGTAACAAGATTCCAATTACATGCAGATGTACAGTTTCTTGAAATGTTCAAAATGTTATTATTATAAAAACGAATTTAAAAACTATAGTCAAGATAATAAGCATTGAGGTTCATAGAGATACATTATTACATGTAAATGCATTAAGGAAATTACCGTTTCATACTTTAATCAGGAATGTTGGAAATGTTTTTTTTTAGAAAATGTAGACTTTCTAAGTCATTTTCATTACACTGAATAAATAGTGAAACATTTTGTCATGTTATTTGTTCACAAAACATGTCATGGTGCATGTACACTAATGTGACATGGTAAGAAAGGGAATCATCTCTTTAATTACATAAAGTTTTTACAATATACATGTATTTTGGGAATGGGGATGGGAATTTTGAATTGATACTTAGTGTACCGGATTAGTGATTTTTTTTTGGTACAACTTTGTAAAAATGTAGAAATAGTTGTAAAACATATACACCATTCCTCCAATCTGTATTTAAATTGTATTGACCTTTGACCCAGTGATCATATTTCTAGGATCAAGTTGGAAATCCGGCCAGTGAAATCTGATAACTGAGATGCACCGAGTTTTTAATATATTAATTTTATATTTAATCTGTGAATTATCTTTGGACTTCACACAACAGCTGTCGAACAACATGCATTCTTTTGGTACAAAGAGCCTTCAAGTTAATAGGAGTTAGCGACAGATCATGGACAATCTGGTAAAATTTGTTACATTAATAGGAAAACACATTCTCTTTTTATTAGTCTAGAAAATTCATCTTCTTTCAACATTAAAATCTAGATGTGTACTGTTATTCAATTGGTACTGAGCCGGGTAAATGCATGACCTAAAGATGAATGATCTCTTATAATAGGAAGTCAAAGCCAACTAAAGTTTTATGTCTGTGGCATTCTGAGGGCAGAGGTTTACATTAGTTCATAATCTAAATCATCAAATCAACATCTGTAGGCAACACTTTATATGCCCATGTTCTATAAAGGGTAGAATAAAAAATTCCTTTTGATAATCCCTTATATGCATTGTGCAGTTCAGCACTTGCTATCTGGCCCCAGGATCATGAAGCATCTTAAGTTTAGGTCATAATCTTCATAGTATAATGAAATTATTTTGAAGAACAAGTCTAAAATGAAACTGCCATTTAACCTTGAATCATTAAAATGCTGTTGTCTGGAAATTAAGGAAAATGGTTCACAAGTAATACATGTACATATATATATATTTTACAGATGATTGAAATCTTAAGTCCAAGTCAAGATCCTGGGGCCTGGTCATTTATTCTTGACGCTCTTATTTATCATTATGCAGCCATAATAAATTTCACCTTTGACACATAAATCTTCAGTATACCAAATTAAAATATATATACATGTATTTTATTAACATATTCTAAGACACATACAATAATACAAACATGGACAGACTCTGGAAATCACTTTTGTAATATGAACTGTTCTATGAATTCATTTTGTTCATTTTCTTCTTTCTGTAAAGCATCATACTGTATTCGTAATCTGAAAATATATAAAAAAAGTTTTTTTTAGTACCGGTAGTTTCATTACTATTATGCAAGTAATTATCACACTCCAGATTGTTTGTCTTGGAGTCAGACACTCCCTGAGTAAGGCTTGTAAAATACCACAACCAACAACAGTGTCATACACAGGTATTTTAACACTGCCAACAAAATTGTCACAAAGTTTTCTGTGGTCAAACAGTGTCAATATTTCATAAGACAACTGTTTCCACAACTGTGATCCCATCCTAGCCGCAGGAGTGTGCACTTCAACAAATCAAAATC